GGAAAGAAGGAGAAAATACCTTGCATACTCCCCCTTTTTAACGGGCGACTGGGGATTAGGGGGCCCCATTGCCAAATCCTGGTGGTTTCATATTATTGTCCGCGACCTTTTAGTTCTGGCGCCACTGTAGAGACAATAGGTTATTTTGAAGCAGGAGATGTGAAAAATGTGCAGTGCCCTCGCCGAGACTCGAACTGGACCTCTCGAATACGCGTCGAGTGTGCTACCGTTACACCACGAAGGCATGTTGGAAGAAGTTAGAAAATTTTATTTTGCAATTGCATGATTTAACGAAGTCACAGATATCTTCTAGTTAAAATTTGTTTGCATTGGCAATATTAGTGATTTATCATTGCATTATTTGATCAATACCTGTTAATCTTATTCAGCAGTATTATACACTTAAAATTACCTAAATACTGCTTATTTGTTTCGGTTAATTAAGCATGAGTGTACTCAGTCATAAATTATAATGTTTAAATTATTATTTCGCATAGATAAGAAATCGATATCTAAAACCATAAAAAACTAGAAGTAATGTTTACGTTGCATTAAGAAACTCGCAGATACCTCGGCCCATCTGATGATAACAAAGAACGAAAAATAATTACTTAATCGTACAGACAAAAATTTTTGATATTTGCCGCTACATTTCATAGACCATTCCTTCATAATTAGGAAAGTGTGATAATATTCCTGCTCCTATGCAATCATCAAGATATTCATCTTTAAGTCGAGATCTGTACTTTATTTTGTGACATTCATTGTTGATAACAACGATATTTGATATTTTTTGATTTTTAACTAATAACCGGGCAAAAAGGACAGATTGACGTGGACGCCGAAACCATACTCTCAGCCTGAGACAAACTCGATCAAACCGGGACGTCTGTTAAGTCCATTGAAAATTATAACACACTAACCAAATACCCGATGCCAGTTAAGTTAGATTTAGAGTAATGCATCTAACAACAGAGAGAACGATGCAAAAAATACGATTCAGAGTCGTACATTTCAGTTTGATGCGATAGGGAACCCACATAAAAATTTTCGATAGAAAAATAAACTAATTCTCTCTCATTATACCAGCAATAATGGCACGCAGTTTTGAATGATTTTCGTCTTTCTTATCAAAGGGTCGTAAAAGCTCGAGTTCCATCCAATATTTCACCTATATTCAATTTCAGTCGATTAGATGCAACAAAAAATTGATCATAATTTGACAGAAATCAATAACGCGGACAACAAACAAATATACACACAAACATTCTTCTTTATATATATATAGATTGATAGATTTTGTAAAACTTAAAATTTTTTTATTAAGGTGCAGATAGTCTGCACAGCTTTTTTCATACAGATAGTCTGCACAGCTTTTTTCATACAGATAGTCTGTACAGCTTTTTCACACAAGAATAAAAACACTGGCAGCTGTGTTGTTCTTCATCATTTATTCAGCAGCGTTACAGTTACTGTTCAACAGGTTTATAGCTACTGATGACCCTGAGAGCAAAGCCGTCCTGCGGACTTGGAGTGATGCAATGTCATAGCAAACATGACTTCAGTGAATCAATGGTTGTCGGCTGGAGGTTGCTTTCCAAACCTATATCCCTTATTCCAACATGCCTTCGTGGTATAACGGTTAGTACACTCGGCGCGTATTCGACAGGTCTACGTTTAAGTCCCGGGGAAGGCATAGCTCATTTTTCAAGTCTTCGGCATCAAAATAAGTACTGACTCTACAGTGGCGTCCGAACTAAAAGGTGGTGAATGATGATTCTTCATTACCAGCAATCAGGTCATAACAGAAATCTATATCTAAAACCATAAAAAAATTCTAGTGACACAATTGATTCTAGAGACACAAAACGGTGCGCACTCTTAAACGAGGGCGCCCCAATTAACTGGTTAATTAGGCAGCTTAACTTTCATTCTAATGAATTATTAGAATTATTACCCCGTCAAACAGCAACGGAGAACAGAGAGATAGCCACGTTCCATCAAATTAATATATAATATATCATATAGCGAGTATATGGTATGTAGGTATGACGCGGTCCACCTTCCTGGCAAGCCTAAGCTCGCCAGAGGCTTGGACTTGCCAGAGGAATTATGGATTGAGCAGGCCTTATGGCTTGGGCTTGCCAAGGAAGTATATGATATTTTCTCCCGTCTTCCAGCATGCCTAGCACACTCGGCGGGTATTCGAAAGGTCCAGGTTCGAGTCCCGGGGAGGTCATTGCTCATTTTTCACATCTGCTGTTGCAAAATGGTCTAATGTCTCTACAACTAGGAGTTGGGCATTTCCAGCGGACCAACCCAATAAATTCAGTTAGTATCAGCAAACGTCAATATTGAGTATGGCATAAATGAATTTGAAATTGCTGTACAGTAGCTGATGTTTTAGGATTTCCAAGTAGCGAAATAGTACAAACAGGTAACAAATTGGTAATAAATGAGGTAACAAATTATATATGTTTGCATTATACTTCTAAATATGGTCATATAAGACTATGCATGAAAATCTTTTTTGTCTTGGTATGGTATTTAGCTTTATTAGCCCAAAGGGTGTTTGTTAGCCCAGAAGGGCTATTAATTTCATTTTGGCATTTTGCTTTAAGAACTTTAAATGTTTTTTCACTTTTCAAATTGTTGCCACCAAAAATACTATCGCCCTATGTTATATTTAAAGAAATTAAATAACGAAGAATCTGCATAAATGTATGCATGTTTCTCGCTTTGTGATAAAACAACGGTACCTAGAGACATCCAATTTCGAATAACGTCATCCTCCTACGAATATGGGCATGTGGAAGACCAAATTTGGAATTTGTTTTATTATTCATTTCATATTTTGTCAGACATTAAAGAATTTTTGATTAACAAACTCGACGAGTTCAAAGCAAGCCATGGCAACACTGTACGGGAAAAAAAAATTATCTCCAGAGCGCGAGACTGTGCATCGGAAATTCTAAAGATACACTGTAGAGACATTAGGTACTTTTTTAGAAGCAGGAGAGATGAAAAATTAATAACGCCTTCGCCGGGAATCTAACCACAGACCTCTGGAATACCGGCCCAGGGTACAGAACCACTACACCACGATAGCACTCTAGGAAAGTGGAAGAAATAATTTATAACGGTCATTTAAAAATTATTTTGCGTTATTGGTGTTGAGTTGAATTTTATGGTTTAAGTGCGAAGAACGTGATATTTAATAAATAACTTTAACTCACAGAACGTTAAAAAAAAACGACCCGCTGGGTAAAGTAAAAAATCTTTAAATTTTGTTTTCGCTATATTTTTGTTCTAAAATTTGGTACGGTCTTATAAACGGGTATTTTGATGAATGAAATTGCAGAATAAGAAGAATGGCTTAGTTATATCATACAGAATATAATAATTAAGCCATACATTGTTTAAATGTTGAATAAACCCCACATGTATTTACCATATATATAAACTGCAAAAGTACCTCTAACTAACACAACTACCCACGTCTAGCCGAGTGAATCTAGTTTAGATTTGCCTGCACTATAGACTAGTCACTGATATGCCTATAGGCAAATAAGTAACGACATAACCCTGACCTTTCCTAGTTTTTCTATCTGTACTATCGTTTGACCGCCTCATCAGCGACCATGAGTGCAAACACAAATGCGCCTTTCGGACCGAATTATTTTTAAAATAGGGTGAAAGGATGGAGACTTTCTTTACCTCCAGCATATAAATTCTCTTTTAAGATCACAAGAAGAGAAGATTTTTACGTCACCTTTCACGTCTCAGCAAGTAATAACGCAACTTTTAAATACGTCTCTGTGTTTTGGCAGAATGCCAGCCCAGGTTGCGTTTAAGGCGGTCGAACTATACGCTGAAATATTGAATTTAAACAGTTAACTGTGATTGACGAGTATACTCGTCATGGAGAAGCGGCAAGATTTTGTGTATTGACGAGTATACTCGTCATGCGTTTAATGAAATGGAAAGATAAGAGGAATGTTTATTTAGTAAGTACTGTACATGTTGACAACGCAATAGAAACAGAAAAAAGAAAAATAATAACAAAGAAACCGGAGCTAGTGATGGATCATAATAAAAAAATGGGTGGAGTGGATAGGAGCGATGGAATGATCATAGCGTACTCCACAGCAAGAAAACGACTCAAAAACTACTACCAAAAAGATATTTCTCCATTTCTTAGACATTATGTGTCTGAATGTATTCATATTATATAAAAAAAAATAATGGAACATTATCGCGTATCAACTTTTGGCTCAAATTTATTGAAGACACTTTTGCGACGTATCCAATTCAAAAAGAAATAAATCGACACAAACTCGGCTATTTAGACATAATATAAGCCAATTAGGCGGGAATCATGTTCTGGATTATATACCCGGAACATCGAAACAAAAAACAACCCTACGCGAAGGTGTTCGTATCGCTACAAACGTAAGATCAGGAAGGAATCGCGTTACTGGTGTTCGATTTGCAAAGTCCCATTGTGTATAGTAGCTGTTTCGCTGAATATCACTCCACAGCAGGAATTTAAACTCTTACTTTTTTATGTATAATATTTAATTTAATTTATGGCGTTTTTAGTTTAATACGTATGTAATATATGCTTATGTTAACCAATTAAGTCAGTATTAGTAATAAAATTTTCAATTTTATAAAATAAACCCATCTTTTTCATCCAATATCTTACCAGCGCAACTTACTCTGTGATGGACGAATATACTCGTCGTGGCTCGATTCTAGCGACACAAAACGGTGCGCACTCTTAAACGAGGGCGCCACAGTTAACTGGTTAATTAGGCAGCTTAACTTTCATTCTAATGAATTATAATCGGAGACGCGTTCTCATCAAATATTCGCTTACATTTTTATTTCTTAAAATCCTAAAAATGTAAGGCGAGTGTTACATTCGAAAAGGTCTTATTTTCAAGTAAATATGGTATATATTATCTGAAATTTAAATTATCTTCTTAACGTTTCAGGTTGCTCAATGAAGAAGACAAACGGCCGTTCGTAGAAGAGGCAGAAAGGTTACGACTGATCCACAAACGGGAGCATCCTGACTACAAATATCAACCAAGGAGGAAAAAGACATCTAAATCTGGCAACGAGAAACCTCAGCAGCCTGCTGGTCAGGCCAACACAGCCATTGTCTTCAGGTGAGTACAAGAAATACTTTTATCGAATGAGAAAGTTCTTAGGAAAGTCCGTATACAGGCTATAACTTTAAAATGGTACAACTTAGCTACCGTAGAAGTAACGTATTACCTAAGCAACCACCTATAGCTGATTCAACCTGCTTTTAGCGGTTCTGATCGCTAAATACGGAATTTAGAAAATTTCATTCAGAAACCAAAAGAGATGCTCCGAAATTTCCGATTTCAAAATAAAAGAACGGTGCCAATCGAGGCATGGCTCAGGCGAAACACTAACACTAAACGTGAAGGCGGCATCTGAGGAATTTTATACCTGGTTGCTTGCATGCAGTAGGAACAGCAAACCGTTACGACACAGACATCTTTAATTTACGATAATTTAAGAGTTTGAATCGCACCTCTTCAACGTTTCTTGCATTTTGATGACATATGTCATTCAGCAGAACATAAATCAGATATTTGTATTGTAGAGACATTAGGTTATTTGGAAGTAGGAGTCGTGAAAAATGAGCAGTGCCCTCGCAGGGACTCGAACCTGGACCTCTCGAATACGCGCCGAATGTGCTAACACCATGAAGGCATTCTGAAAGGTTGGAGAAAATATTCCTTTCAAAGGGCGACTGGGGATTAGGGGACCCAATCGCCAAATCCTGGTGGTGAAGAATCAACATCCACCATCTGTTAGTTCGTGCGCCACTGTAAAGTCATTACGACTTTTTATATGCAGGATACATGAACAATGAGCAATGCCCTTGCCGGGATTCAAACCTGGACAATCTCGAATAGGCGTCGAGTGTGCATACGCCGTTACACTACGAAAGCATGCAGAAAAGAGGGATAAAATACCTTACAGTATAATGTTTTATTCAGACCCACTGTCTTGATTGTCCTTTTGATTGTCTTATGTACATTTAGCTATTTTCCATGTTACAATGACATTACTATTACATTTTGTTATTACTATTGAGCACTAACCACCAGAAATCAGTTTTTGTCTGTCCATCCTTCTGTTAATGTCTCTTGAAACAAGTTTCATTTTATAATAATTAAAAGTTACTCCCTCATTTTGTAACTGGAAGTTTTTTCTCACTCTGGTTAATGTTTTGAATTAATTATTCTAAGTTTAGTATTTCTTCGCTGGGGTTGCTCCAAAAGTGTTCAGTCGATCTCACATTGTCCTTATACTCCTTATATTCATGTATAACATTACCAAAACATTTTATTCAAAACTCTAAGAGAAGTAAAGGTCGTCTCTTAAAAGTTCTGTAAATGATGGATGATTTTTCATGCATTTAAAATATCTTCTTAAAAGATTTTTCCTCAGAATAATAATTTAGCAGTTCTGTATCTTTCCTTAAAACAGTTCGAAATGTTATCAAATTCCTTCTGTAATGAGTATGAATAGGTTACAAACAATAGAACTAAGAACAAAAAGACCGAAGTTATTGCCGCTCTTGCCTCCCAGTATCTCGACGCCTCTAAAGGAAGAATTGCAATCGCGAAAATTTCGGGTATCATATTTCAATCGCTCTCGAAACCATTTGAACAATGGTTTTGCATGACATCTGTACGTACGGGCGGAAAGGCCTCTTTTTTGCAAAAAGGATTATAAAATGCATTTAAAATGGATTCAAAACAGATTTTTTTCCTTGACGTCTGTACGTTAACGTCCTGAGGATGTAGTAAGTAGGACTAATAACATCCCATACGTTGTCGATGGAAGCTATATAGGATGTGTTTAGGAGGTTAGTGGGATATCCGGGATGTCCTGAGGATGTAATAAGTAGGAGTTCAGATCTTGATAACATCCCGTACGCTGTCGTTGGGACTTAGTTAGGATGTCCTGAGGATATACTGAGATGTGACATTAAGCACTCGCGAGGATGTGTTTAGGAGGTTCGGGGAATACTGCGGGATGTCCTGAAGACGCGCGCTTATCCCGCAAACAATATCCTATCAGGATATCCTGAGGATGTTTTGTGCTATGTGGGTTGGTATGTATGTATCTCGCATGACTCAAAAACCAGTAGCCGTAGAACGTTGAAATTTTGTATATGCGACTTCGTTGCAATCAGTTGCAATCCTTTTTCGTTGCAATCAGTTGGATCACACACACATACACACACATATATATATATATACCCAGTCTGCTACCTGGCTTGGTGAGCTTAGTTGTTTATCCTTATATGTTGGTAAACTGTGCATGTTTGGCTTTAAAAGTGATTGAATTATGTGTTTTTTTATGTTCCGGTTAAGGTTTTTATGCATTTAGTTAATCTGCATGCAATATAGTTCTGGAATCATCAACAATTAAAAACATTTAAGCGGATAGTTAAGCCTAACGAACCGCCATTTGTTTATATTTGAAACTCAGTAGAATAGTGAATTCAGTTTCTGCACCTTTCATGTCTTTTTGCCGGGTGGGACCAAAAGTAAACGTTCAGTTTTGTGCGCCGAAAAATCTGCCTTCTTGCGCGATGTCGAATTGCTTGTTTTTGCTTAAAAACACTAATTTTAATCGTATTTTTTTTTAAAAAAATTTAACTGCATTTGGTGTTTTATGTCTTTCTGTATTTTATAATTTCTAGTGAAAGTGCTTTATGATTTTACGTGTTTTTGCTTTACTGCGAAGTGAGAACTGAATTAATTGAATGAGAAATCTATCTCTCATGAAATTCGAGGAAATAAGTTTAAATGAAGTGCAGCAAAGAATGTGTATAGTTTAATATTCCGTACAAGGAAGTCATGTTATGCCCACATGACTTCAGATTTTTATTTATGTATCAAAGAAAAATTTAATAAATAAGAGTTGGTTGATACTATTTATTCTCAAAATTTGTTCGACTTCGAAATTCTGTCCGAAAAGTTAGAAAATTTTCATAATTTCTTTGCTTTTAATTTAATTTAAACTAAGCTATTGCATGATTAATTAAACGCATTAGAATTAGTTGGAATAAATTATGTGAATTTTTTATATTTATCTGTCACTATGCATTACAAATAAAACCAACAACCGAACTTCAGCTACAAAACAAGTAATATAAAAAAAATAAAGTTAATTCCTACTTAGGTCAATAAAGAAAAATTAAAAACAAATTAAATAAAGATTTTTTAGTACAATTTTTTTAAATTAAACATTAAAAAAAATTTAATATGTGAAAAAACTGTATTAACATCAAGTGTCATCCACTACAAGTTTAAAACAATGCATTTGAACTTCAGTGAATGAATAAAAAGTATTATTAACGATTGAAAATTTGAACAAAATATAGCGAGAGTTTCATTTTTTCCTTTTGTATTTTTTTTCCCCTTTCCAACATGATTTTTACCCTTTCCCCTTGATTTTACTGTTTTTATTGTTTATTATATGTTTGCTAGATATTTAGTATGACAGATTTAAAATTTCGTCTTAAATATTCTTCATTAATTAAAAAAAAAAAAAAAATCAGGCCCGTCAGCTGTTTTCTGATCGTGCTTGAGACAGTGTATAATTTGAGTTTTCGATCACTGCTTGTTTAATATGTTGTTATGTGATACTCATATGTGTACTGAAAACATATTTCCAGGTCGCTCAAATACAGCGATTCCGATTCCAATTCCGTGAAGACGGAACACGAAGGAGGTGCTCCTTCCAGCCCACCTACCCCTCCATCCAGTCCCCCTCTCGAAGAAGTCTCACCTCTCAACAGGAGACTGAAACCTGGTATGTTTCTTTGGTTTTAATATGTAATATTTCAGCAGTACATTTTAAATGCAGCAGAAGCTCAGCATGCGAATATTAAACGATGTTCCTATGACAGACAGATGAACACCGAAAATAGTTGAACAGTGTTTCTTGAATGATTGCACAGAGATCTGCATCTGTACAAAATAATTTCATATAAGAACTAAACTAAAAATTGCGAAACGCTCTCTGAAAATTAATAACCTCAGAGACATTTAACATCTCACCGTGTCATCATCAGGCTTCGGAGATGACACTGTTTCTCATATGCTACTTTTATGAAATGCCCAGTTGCGGTAAGACAGCTTCCCCGCAGGTTAGGGTCTTCAGAAAATGGCAAGGAAAGACAGGGTTGCCAGATTTGGTGCTAATCGCCCATTTAGCGACAAAATCGGCGATATGCCATAGACCAGGGGTTCTGTATCTCTCGTTCTACTGGGCCGATTGACGAAATCCAACTTGCGTTTTTCATAAGCACGACTTAGGATATGTATTAGCTTTATATATAGCATATATAGCATTGTTCTAATATAGGTATTTTGACACAAAATCTGACTTTTTCTGAAATGATATGCCAATTTTTTTTCCATATTTCGATTCTACGACTCGAATGATGCCAAACTGCCAAATTTTTTAAAAATCGTAGGAGTAGTTTTTAAAAAATCGGCTTTCAAAATTTTAGCTCCTCAGTGTTAATTGAATTTGACATATATTTATTATTAATATCTCTTACTTATTAAACTTACTTGATTCCTTCTTTCCAGAATTCAAAATTTAGGCTTAGTCCAAATGCAATTCGAACATTTTTTATGATTTATTTTTTAAATTTATGATTTATTTTTAAATATTTTTTATAAATTTTTCGAAAAACATTTTGTATTATATCTTATAAAATTTTTAACATCAACTTAAATTAGTTGTATTTCTAGGCACGTCTGCAAAAAATTAGAGTTTTTTATTCAAAATTTTTTAAGGTATACATGAATTTACATGTTAGAGCGTTTTGAAATCTGGCATCTTTTATCTGAGCGATAATAACGCTAAGCGATAATACGCAGTGTGTTAAAATTATTTGAAAGTATGAACGATGACTTTTTCTCCGCTCGTCTGTAATGAAAAAAAAAAAGAGGAAAATAGGTTGCTATAAATTAAGAAGTTTGCCAAGTGAATTATTCTTGGCGAAAACTGAAAATAATATGTCAAGATGAATTTCTGAATTTCTCCGTAAATTTCGCATCAAATTTTACAAAATTTAATATTTAGACATAATTTGAGTCGTAGAATCGCAATATAGAAAAAATGTGGCATATTATTTCAGAAAAAGTCCGATTTTGTGTCAAAATACCTATGTTAGAATGACGCTATATATAAATCTATATATATACTAAGTCGCGTTTTCGAGACATGAAAAACGCAATTTTAATTCTGTCAATTGGCCCAGTAGAACGGGAGATACAGAACTGTCCTTTTTTTTTTTTTTTTTTTTTTATTTTTTCAGGTAACTATAATTTTTAATCAAACATTCTGTTTATAAAGTGTAGCTCAATGATTTTGCGGGCATGCCAGGATATGTCCTACCACAACGTGTGATACATGAAAAAGCGTATTTAGACATTTGATATATTTATAGATATCAAAATTTGTTCATTTATTTTTAATAATTTTCACTGACTTCTGTTTTTATAGATGTACAAAGAAAAATTCGTACCGTTTCAAAAAACGGAATTATGATATAAATATAATTTAAATTTGTATTTTGTTTAAAATTTTTTCCTTTTCGAATATTCGTTTCTCAAAGATTTTCTTAAAAGTTTTGTCGTATCCTTTATAAAACTTTTTACTGTGGGAAACTAATGATTCTCTAAGAGATAAAAAAATCTCTACATATCTCTTTATAATTAGCATTTTATATGTGCATCTTCAATTAACATTACTTTAACTTACTCTTTTTAGATAAATTGTAAATGCTGTTTTAAGTCTATTTGCAAATCATTTTATCTTCCGCTTAGTTACTGTTAACTTGTGTTTTTATGCGGTTCTTCCTTTCAGAATAGCCCACCAGCGGTCGAGCGGTAAAATCGCTGAACACCTGGTAGTTCGGTCTGAGGTTCAAATCCCACGAACGGGCTGGCTGCATGGGCGTTTTCGTGGTTTTCACCGTGTGTAACGTGTATACGAGCCAGTTTCCCTTAGAAAGTCCTCAACGAAGGCATCCCTCCCCTTAGGCAGATAGCCCTAGTGTGCTTTGCCGTATTCTCAATACACCAAAAACACCACCTTTCAAAATAATATGCAACCTTCATGTAGTTCGGGAAAAGTTAGTCATAATAATTGATCCAATTTCAGATTACCTCAAATCATCAACCGCTAATTATATATTAAGTTGTTACATAATTCATGAAAAGAGAGATGTTCGACTTTTAGCTATCACATAAACATTGTGCTAATGTCACTGAGGAAGTGTCAGGAAATAGTTAGAATAAACAGCTTGTCGCTAGCATTGCTAATGCTATGAAGGATTATTCCGTTCTTGCATGCACGTGATGTTGGTTTGCTCTTGTCAAGCTCACCTAACGATCTTGACGGAGGACTTAAAGCAGCCACCTGTCTCCCAAGATGGTCCCAAAGATGCTCTATTGGATTTTAGGTCTGGGGATTGAGCTGGCCATACCATCCGCTCCCTACCGTAACCCTTAAGATATTCTCAGCAACCCGAGCTCGGTGCGATCGCGCATTGTCGTCCATCAGAAGAAATCCAGGGCCAATAGCAGCGGCATGAGGGCGAACATACTGATCAAGAATCTTGTCTCGATATCTCACACCGGTCAAAGTTCCTCCATGGAACACATACAAGTCAGTATGACCACGGATAGAGATCCCAGCTCAGACCATTACCCCACCACCTCTGTAACTGTGTCTTTCCATGATGTGGGATTGGTTGTATCTGCTTTTTTTCTCCAGATCAGCTGACGGCCTGAATCACTTTCCAATGTGAACCTGGATTCATCTGTGAAGAGAACAGACGCCCGTTGTTTACTGATCCAGGAGACATTTTCTCTTGCCCAACATAAACGGGCACCTCTGTGTCCTCCTGGTCAAGGGGACACAAACAACTGATCGTCTTGCATACAGTTATGTACTGTGCAGGCGTCTGCGCACTGTAGTAGCTGAGATGTTTGTTCCTGTTGCCACTAAATGATCTGGCATGAGCTGAGGCACAGTAATGTGCTCTCTTTAGGGCCAAAAGAGCTAAATAATGGTCTCCCGCAGGTGTTGCAACTCTAGGTCGGCCTGGAACATTTCTTCTAGACACGGAATCCTCGGATTCAAACTGATTCCATAGTCGGTGGACCACACTACGAGAGACAATGAGACGTCTAGCAGCATCAGCTTGTGACATCCCCATTTCCATCTATCCGATCGCCCGCCACCTTAACGAATCGGGCAAATGACTTCTCCTGGACATTGATAGACTCTCATGGGTATAGTCCACGAAACTGTAATAACAATTGAAGATCAACACTCGTGAACAAAAATTACAATTTTTGCATTTTTTCTCCAACTCCTATATAAGTATTCACTTCTATAAAATAAAAGTGGTAGCTATTGTTTTTGCATATATTTTCTTAAATTTCATTACTGTCAGGCATATGAATTCTGAATTTAAATGTTACTGACATTTTTGTAATGATGAGCTTTGAGAAACATGCTGTTCCTTAACTTGCGGAGGGCAGTGTAAAATTCCTAAGAAAAATAAATAATGAGCTTCGCTTAGCTGTATTAAAATTACGCATCTTTAAACTATAGATGTTTTGGGTGAAAACATAATCTATTTAATAATTAGTTCAAGTCAAAATGCGATTTAACATTTCACATGTAAAAACGTTTGAATTTTTTATTTGAAATCATTGAAAATTTCACACCAGAATTAAGAAATATTAAAACAAGAGTAATCATAAAATAAAAAATAAATTAAAAATATTAAGCTTCAAAAGAAACATCCGAGCAAACGATTTAATTGTTCGAGCATTTTAATAATCTCTAAATTTTAGATTATTTATCATGGCTAGGAAACTCATACAGTGTGTTTGTTATACATTAGTAACAGAAAACACATATAATAACGTGATTTTATACTATCCTGAAAAGTTAAAACATCTTCGGAGCTCAAAAGGTTTTTGCATCGAATATCTTAACCCCAGCTTGAATCAGCATAGATATGTTGGTTTTCTTTTCTTATGACTTGCGAATATTTTAATGCAACTGCACACAATTCAAAGATTCTGTTGCAGATAACTGATCTGCTGAAGAACTTTCTTTGCTTGCAATAACATTAAAATACAAAACACGTAAAGCGATATGCATACATATCCATTCAAAGGAGTGGTTTGAATCTAAATATCTTTATATTATTTTGTCCTAGCAACAAGATTAACGCATACACTTTTAAAAGGGTTGCATTGTTATCAACACGCCTTTGTACATTTCGTTAACAAGTCAATAACAATCAAAAGTCTGTAACTTCTATTCTATTTTTATCCGCCTAATGTGAATCACGATAAGTATCTACTTTCATTCATGAAACTAATACCATTCTTTTGTTATTCACCAGATGGCAGTAGCTACGAGCAACCAATCGATTTCAGTTATGTGGATGTCGGCCAACTCACACGAGAGGCGATGGACAATTTGGATGAGTCTGAGCTTGACCAGTACCTCCCACCCTCCAGCATTAGGCAATACACTGGTCTTATGCCCCCTCTGGTGGACGATTTCGGAGGACCTTATCCAGTGAATACAGCCTCTTTCGTGAGCAGTACTGCAGGTGAAGAACATTGGACTTGCTTTTAAAGAACTATTACATGGAAAAAGAGGTTCATTCTTAGTGCCCTGGAGAAGAACTTTCAACAAAAAATAACAATTAGTAGCGGAAGTATCCGATGTCAGTTACGTTAGATTGAGAGTAATGCATCTAACAACAGTGGGAACCATACCGCTGGAATCCTTCTCTAGTAACGGTGCAAAAAATACGATTCATAGTCATACATTTTTCAGTCTGACGCGATAGGGAACCCACATAAAAATTTCGGTAGAAAAATAAGCTAATTAATTCTCTCTCATTATATCGGCAACAATGGCACGCAGTTTTTAATGATTTTCGTCTTTCTGATTAATGGTTGTAAAAGCTCGAGTTCCATCCAATATCTCACCGATATTCAATTTTAGTCGATTAAATGTGGCAAAATGTTGATCATAATTTATCAGAAACGCGAACAAACAAATAAACACACAAACTGACATTCTTCAATATATATAGTATATATACATATTAGATTTTGTAAAACAAAAATTTTTGATTAACAAATTCTAAAATTTCAAAGCGAGCAGTAGTAACACTTTTCGAAATAAAGCTTTTTTATCTTCGACGCGCGAGACTGTTGCCATTCGGAAAAATGAGCGCTTTCAGAGTTTTTAATTAATATTTCGGTTCATTAAAGTCACACAAAGTTGGGAATAGTCGAAATGGCTTCTCACGAATTTTTAGAATGGGGAATAATAATAATCTATTTAATCTTTGGCAATGCTATTTTTAGTTCGTCGTAAAACATAGAAATATTTTATTCACAAACTCTAGGATTTGAAAGGGAGCAGTGGCAACAACTTTCGAAATAAAGGAAGTTTTCATAGCTTGCGAGACTGTTGCCACTGCAAAAAATGAGGGCGAAAATTATCGTTTTTCCGAGTTTTTAATTAATATCTCTGATTTTTTTTTTTTTTTTTTTTTTGAAAAACGTGGACGTCGACCTTTTCCAGGACCCAGAAAAGAATCGTAGAAAGTTTGGCGACGATAGCTACAGTAATGACTCAGTTATTAGAGGACAAACATAGAGACTTTCTTCTTTATATATATATAGATTACAAAAGAATTGGAAAGAAATCGGAACAATATTACAAGATATTAAAACTGGGGGACTGACTCTTTATTTTACTGTTTATGAAATTCAATCCCTCAAGCGTTTTTTAGTCTTTTAGGGAAGAAACCCTGTTTTACGACTTTAGCTATTGCACACATCTCTCTGACTTTAGTTATTAATTTTTAATACGACGCAAAGTATACTTACATCTCTATGCTTATACTATAAGTATAAAAAGGAATATAAAAATAGGCTAAAAATTAGAATTAAAACCCTTCCTGGCATCTAAATTTATTATTAAATTGAAATAAAAGCAAGGAAATTCCTCTGTAATATAATATTTGTAACCGTGTATAAGAGGTTTAACACAATTTCAAAACAAATCCAATTAAAGGAAGAATTCATAGAAAAACAAACTCGAAAAATAACAATGCGAAAAGGAAAATATACAAAATTATATAAATAAAATTAATCTCCTTTTCATTGAAACTCCAATTCAAAACTTATGAAGGGAAAATTAATTAAAGCTTCATAGAGTCGATTAATATGTTTCTTTCTCCTGGTTCATTTGAGATCAAAAGCCATAAAAAGATTTCATCAAATTTTTATTAAATACTTTAAAATTCATATAAAACCGAAAACTCGAATCTCAAATGTACCAGAATTTTCCCTACACATTTTCGAAACACTTTGAAAATAAGAATGTAACATAACATTGTGCCCAAATGACAATGAAAAAAAAAATACATTATGTACATTGGGAAAAAAAGGGGGGTCTAAAACCAATATATGCTTATCTGAAATTCAGAAGCAAGTATAAATAAAGAGCAAAACTAACAGTCATTTAAACAAAACTAAAAAATTGGGAGGTCCCCGATTATGCTAAACTCAACTTTTAATACCACGAAAACGAAAAACTGTACACAGAGATTTCTATAAATAATAAAAGTTAAATCTGAGCCTTAAACAGCTAAAAACCTATTTGAAATTTGAAACAATAATTGAAAAAACCGAAACTTACTGAAATCTTATCAGGATCTTCTATGAGTAATCTAACTGAATTCTAAAGATGACCAAACTCTGTTCTTGCTAAAGAAAGTACAATTCAAACTGCTCTGGAGAAGCCGAAATTTTGTAGTTCTTGGAAAAAGTATGCGATAAGTTTCAAAGTGTCCAATAGCAGAACTAAGTATTTTAAGTTTGTTCTATGCTTATACTTATATATCTATAACTCTACACTAGTATGAAAAATTGCTCGTGGGAAAAATTGCAAAAATTATAAGGCTTAAAATCACTAATAACTTTCACTTTCTTCTGAAGAACGAAAAGCGATTTAACGGTCATAGAAATGGAATTTCATTGTATACAAAATGTCAAATTTCAGCATTTTTACTAACAGTAACCGTAGTCAGGGATTCTAAAATTAAGGTTTTTATCGTAAAAAATTGTCTTAAAATTGCTTTTAAAAAATTTGTTTTCGAAAACTAAATTCTGCTTACTCAGCCTTCTGATCAAAAATTCCCAGTAGTTCTTCTGAAAAGCAGTTTGTTTTAACACTTCCTGTAACATCGCCGGTCAACCTCTACGAATCATATATGATCTTTTTTTTTTTTTTTTTTTTTGTACAACTTTATATAGACTGTGAGTGGCAACAGTAGAAACGAAAATAGTCGTAGAATGATGTTGTTTAAAAAAGAACGTGTTTAAAAAGTGAATAATAAATTGTTCTCTTTTAAATAAAGTAGCGTAAAATTATTCTTAAACAAAAAAATAACTTAAATAATGTAGCGGTTACTACATCATTAAAACGTTATTTTTTCGTGTAGCAACCGCTACAAGTCCATTAGAATCTAGCAGGTGGTGTTTAAGCGCAGTGCAGACTACGCTTGCCTCGTTCTTTGCTCATGGTCTTAGTAACTTAGAGGCTTTAAGCTCTATCTTAACTCGCGTTCTAGGTTGTTGCGAAATTGCTTTGCTAATTGCAACTTGTTCAAAGAAAGTGTCGGCAATGAGAAAGGAAATGTAAGTAAGAACCACATTTAATACATGGTTAAGTCAAAACGCTTGAAATCTGTTGAATATTATGTAATTTTTTTTTCTCTTTAAATTAAACTTTGCAATTCGAATTATAATAAGTATTAAACTGGCAAATCTTAAACTAAAGTCGAAGTCGCTTTCGAAATTCAATAAACTTAAAAGTACTAAGGCGAAACAACATCTCTCACGACGTATTAAGAAAAACATTCATATTCAGTTTCTTAGAATTAAAAAAAAAATTATTCACAAGTAATTTCTTTGGGTTCTAGGTTAAATACTACTGTGTAATTTAAAGATTGAAATTTATTTCTGAAGCTACAAATTTTCAAGCTACTTAAAATCAGTAACGCAACAATCGTGAGTGTGTCGTAGATTTAGTCAAGATCTCACTTGAAAACTGTCTTGCAGATTTCTTTGCTCCTGACGAAGAGGTACCTGTATTTGCTTGTCCTCGAAATCGAATAAAATCTATAAAGCAACAATCGAGCTTGGCGTAGATTTAGTCAAGATTTCAATCGATATCAAGGGTAAACAGGTACAGGCCCTTCTTCGTCAGGAGCAAAGAAATCTGCTAGACCAACGATTCTCAACTGGTTGGTACGCAAAGAAACAAAGTATTTTTAACTATTAAATTCAGAAATCTCGTGAAGAAAAAGAACAATTGACATAAATTTCCTGTGATCGAACTCTTAACTGAAAATTTCAAAAATAACACACTTGCTAACGTTTGGCTGAATCGAAGAAAACATTTGAAGGTATTTCAAATCAAGCCATTAAATTTTTATTGCCTTTTTACACAACCTATTTGTGTAAACAAGAATTTTCTTCCATGTTAACTTTGAAAAATAAATACCAAGAATATTAAAAGTGGATCCTAATTTACGGTTAAAACTACAGTAAGTGAAATAAAAACAGACACAAAGAAATTGATCTCTCTTAAATGGGCCCAAATTTCACATTAAATTTTAGAATCAAAGTATAACTTAAATTTTGAAAATTAAAATGGTCACCAATTTTTAATCTAACATTTTTTTTATGTGCGCATATTTAATATAAATAACTAACAGGTTTGTTCAATTGGCAATATATATATATTTTTTAAATATTTATATTGAGAAATTGAAACATAATCATTGTAAAATGTAAGGGTGGTTCTAAAGTTTTCAATTTTTGTTTAGATGATACAAGTTAGTCAAAAGGTTGAGAACCGACTATTATCCACGGATTAAGATAGATCCACAGATTATCCACTTGCAAACAGTCTTGCAGATTTCGTTACTCCTGATGAAGAGGGACCTTACTTGGTTGCCCTCGAAATTCATCGAGATTTTGATTAAATCTACGCCAAACTAAGATTGTTGCGTTACTAATTTTATGTTTCCCTCGACGTGCTTCTCTTTTCATTTCACTTCGAAATTATTTCGAAACGTATGGCTAAGGATAGGCAAACGGAAGAAGGAATTTGAATGATCTCTGTAGATGAAGGTAACGTAAAATCGTCATCCTGCATTCCTTTAAATTTAAATTACTACGTTAGTGCAATATTATATATTTTAAAGGCTTACGTTTTGTAGATATGTTTTAATATTTTGATTACATTATGCGTCCGCAAATATTGCGATAAAAATTTGATATTAATAACATTCGAAATATTTAAAATAATTAATCCATGGGATAAATGTAATTTCCCAGCGATAAAGAGCCTGTCGGCATTTTTTTCATTCTAAATATTTGTCAGAAAAGAAAAAAAAGGTATGACGAATAGCTTCTCCAGACACTGAATACGAACCTCGATTTAATCATGCTACAGAACACTGGTGCAATTTTTTTTTTAAACTGTGAAATCTGATTATATCATCTCAGGGTTCGCAACAGCTGTGCTGTGATTGGAACCCTGAGCGAAACGAACGTTTGTCACATGGACAGTTTAACTCGTCCTCGTGGAGCAAAGGTCGTCCTTTAATTCATATGTCGATGCCAATTTTTTTTCTACAGTTTTATGGTACTTTATAAGTAGCAAATATTTTGTATTTTTATTTACTGTTTCTGAAAGCCTGGTGCTCACGAAACATAATAAAATATTTAGATAAAAAAGGTCTTGTTTATTTATCTGTGAACAATACTTGTGATTTCAGCAATCAAAAAATTGCAAGAGTTTTGAGGTTATGAAATATATCAGTTATCACATTTAGATATACATGAATATTTCTTAGCGTTCCTTTGATTTACATATACATATCCAAAATCTGATGAAGATACATGACCTCCTTGTACGGAATATTGAATTATACGCAGTTTTGCTGCATTTCATTTAACCTTATTTCCTCGAATTTCATTAGAGATCTTTCTCAATTAATTAGTTCAATTCTCACTTAGGGGC